AGTGTAGCACTGGCATATACTTTACTATTTAAACAGAGGATATATTCTGGTGGAATTGATTGGAATGAAAACTGGGGCACATGAATGGAGTCAGTGGGCTTTGTGTGTGGAGATGTATAGATCTTGGCTGAAGCAAGACTTCTTGCGTTAAGACTGATATCAGCTGAGAAGCTTCTTTTCTCTTAGTACATCCAGGTTCTCTGCTATCTGGAGAACTCTTCCAACAGCTATGTTGTGACTCAGTCAGCAAAAACAATTACTCTTGACAACATTTCTGAGCTTCCCACAGTCAGGAGTTGGCTGTTTCACGCACGTACTTTTTGACCTTATATTCTGATATTAAAAAAGGAAAAAAGTCACCTTATCATTGCTTGGGAACAGAACAGGGTGCATCTCCTTCCTTTCTTTGTTCATTAATGGCCAAGAAATTTTCTGTGCTCAGCAAGAGCACAGCCAATTGAGACAAAAGTCACGACTGCAAACAAACAAGGACTAGTCTGATCTTTATTTTAGATTGCTGATTTGTGTATGTATCAAACTACATGTGAAGCAAAGAAACTGATTTATTTTTCTGTTATTTTTACTAAATAACAGAAACACTCTATGAGCACGTCCATCTGCTGAAACTACAATTCCTGAAATGATTTGGAATTTCCCCTGTGTACTGGGATTTGGTTATGACCTGAGCTCATTATAACCATAATTTTTTTCCTGCTGGTAACTCTTGTCTTAAGCCATTCCTAAGTTTCAACAAGTATGCAACTAGAGCTTCATAGAGTCTTCTTTATTTATTTATGTGGACAAATATACCAAGCTAAATTGCTAAACCAATATAGCTCTGCAAATCATGTTATCAACAGCATCTGCCATGCATTTAACATATTGCAGAGTGGTTTGACTGATGGGATATAATTAAATGGATTGACAGATATTTAATACTAAGAATAATAGAAGTATATGTGCCAGAAAACAAGTGTCAGTACCAGAGTGGCATAGAGGGACACAATTTTGCCTATCTATCTGTGGCATTCTTGACATAAATGAGATTCTGTTCCTTACACATTCAGACAAGTTAAAATACTGTGTCACCTACAGCTAGTTCAAACTGCAATTGCTCGCTTGCTGTGTGATGTTTCTCAATGAGATCACATTGCACCAGTGTTGCCCTCCCTCCCATCTGTCCTCTTTAGGCTGCTATAAGATTTCCAGAGAAGTTCAGTGTGTTGGCCTCACTTACAATGCCTAAAATCATTGGGATGTTGAATGCTTTCCTTATGTGCTGTTACAACAGTGTTGTTTTCCATTATCCCCAGGAAGAGAGATCTCTGATGGCTAAAATGCCAAGAAATTTGTGGTGATTACTTGCTTTCCTTCCTTTAACATTTGAGATTCTTTGCTTATCATTACACTAAATTCCTTATGCTTTCTTTGCTTTTTTCAATTTGTTAAGAATCCACCTTTCATTTGTACCCCCTGTAGCATGTAGTACGTATCCCAACAAGTGCTGCCTTTGGTATTACTAAGAACTCTTAGTGGAGTATTAGTGTCTGGTGGTGTTTCATCTAGCTAAGCAGCAAGCACTTAGTGATTTTTCATCAGCATGCTGCAACGCTCTGAATAGCAACACTGACAGGCACTGAAATACAGATTTTAGACAAGCTCAATTTAAGATGTACCCTTTTAAATTTCTGTCATGGTTTAAGCCCAGTGAGGGAGAAGAAGAGGGGAGAGTGAGTGAGCTGCTGCATGGCTCTGAGTTACTGGCTGAGCTTAAAACATGACAATTTCACAGTCTCCTTTATCTATTTGACAGATGTTTAGAGATGACACTTCTCCATGTTTTTTTCACTGCTAACAGCTAGATATATATTAACTGAACATACTTCTTTAAAAACAGAAGGAACCATGCTTAAAAGTACAATTTGAGATTAAAATCTGCCACTTCAAAATCAGAAAAAGTCATGAGTACTTTTGCTTGAAAATGTGTGTAATAATGATATTTCTACAGTATTCTATTACTACTTTTATTTACTAGGCTGTTACTGTTTGCAGATCAATAAACAGACAATGGGCATGTGTTAAAGAAACTTTCCCTCATGTCTTAGCTGGGTCTCTGCATTCATTTGCTCCTAGTATCAAGCAACTTTTTAACTAACTGCTGATTTACAGGACCTTCTCTGATCCCCTCCACTTCAGCTTCACACTGCACACACATAATCAGCACAGATCAGATGCCTGGTGTAAAACTTACCTAAGCACTAAGCTTGGCATTAACAATATTAGCTAAAGGAGAAAATGCCAAGCAACCTTGTGTTTGGGTATTGCTACCTTTAGCACCTAAAACAGAAAGAGATTTGAATGTTAGAGATGGATGCGTGTAATCAAATATCATAAATAACAATAGCATGCCTTAGAGGGATTTACCCCTTTTTGTTCTCATAGACATTGTCCTCTGATGGAAGAGCAGAGTAATCGGTGAGGGTTGTTTGCTTCTATTTTTTCTGCTTATTTTTGTTTTAATGTTATCTTAACATAGAGGATTATCTTCTAGGAAATACTGGCAATGTTTAGAGAACAGTAGCGTAGGTTTGTTACAAAATGGAGGTGCTTCTTCCAGTTACTGATAGGGCTTCTTTTGGAAAGCCCCTTTCATTGTATTTGAAATCAAAACACAGAAAGTCTGAAATTAATGCATTCACTTAAAAATGCATGCGGGTTGTAATGTTCCTATGAAACCCAACCTCTTCACCCTTTTCATTGCTGTTGCTTTTGTTATGGACTTGTAATAGTATTGTGTGATGTAATAGCCTTTCAAAAAGCCAGCAGCAACAATAAGCACTTTCTATTTCCCACCCATTTTAAATATCTAGGTCAAGTGAGAATGAATTTGAGACTAAGAATTTCTAAGAAGGATGGCAGTGGGAAGCCTGGTTTCACTTTGGGTGTGTGAGATGGATTCTTTCTTCTGAGGAGCGCTGGTCTCCCACTGCCGCCATTCCCTCTGTGAGGCTGTTACTTGAACCTTTTCTCTGTATCCAAGTCATCTCCTTCCATGAAGCTTTGTAAAATTTAATGACAGTGCATCCTTAGCCGAATTTAACCAATGAGTTAAGAAATCATCACCTCCATTGATTTAAAAGGAGCTGACATATGTATATATACATAATGCTCAGTCTGCTTATTTCAGTCTTAGCTTTTTTTCTGGAAAACAGGTCTGAAAACTCTCCCTGTTGCCAGTCCTGGGAAAGTCTGTCACACGTGATTTTTGTACTTGGATACTTAGGTTTTATATCAGATGTGTTGACCTCAGCAGTATAGCTTACGGAGGCTGAGACTTCCCAGGCTGTGTCTTATGTTGGTTCCTGGCCTTTTGCTAGAAAAGTTTAAATGGGAGCTGATCAGAAAAAAATAAGGAAAAAGGAGAAAAAACAAACAAGAGAGGAAAAAAATACAAACAGCTCACCAATTGCCCTGACAACTGTGTGATTTGAAACTGCACTCATAAACTGGGAGAATTCCCTATTGTTACACAAGATTAAGATGTTTTCTAGCCCATTCTTAAATTAGGAAACCCAAGAATGTTATATTTGGACATTCAAATACTTATTTATCTCTAGACCTTAATGGCATCCCTACCATAATAGCTTTTATAGCTAAGAATGGTTAGAAATTCAGAAGTAAACTGATGGAGTGAAGACGGGGTTAAATTTATGTGTCACATACACAGTATGCAATGATCTGAAGTGCCTGAGTTTTATAAAATGGTATTCTGGGGAAAGAAATAGTGGCAGATAGTTAAAATAGAAAAGATTTGTAGCTATGAGTTAAAGAAAACATTTGCATCATCCTCTGTGGAATGCTCTCATCTTTGGTACTCTGTCGTGATGGCAATGAGGTAGCTGTAGGTCTTCAATAAAATAATCAGTTATCCATCTTTCAATCTTTTTCCCTTTCTTTTGTTTCTTTTTGTTGATTAGAGTGAGAAGCAAAAAAAAAAAACAAAAACAAAAAAAAACCAAAAAAAACCCACACAAAAAAAAAAAACACCACCAAAAAAAACAAACCATGGGTGTGAGAATTCAAATTCTCATTTTCCTGAGCACCTCAGCAAGGTTTTCGAGACAGTCTGTCTCTTTTTGAAGTGGCTAACTTTTACTTTTGGTAAAAATTTTCAGGCAGATAAGAAAGCTTCATGACACCTTAACCCAGCTAAAATCTTTCCGAGCACAGAGCCAAAAAATGTTATCCAGAGGAACAAATGGAAGTGAGTGAAATGACGAGTAGCAGTCCAAGGGGAATGATGGTCAGCAACAGGAATTGATTTCAAGTGGGATTGGAGGGAAGAGAAGGACTCTCAAGATGATGTTCCATGGTATGTTGGTGTTTAAATCGCAGTATGTAAAGCGTAAACCTCCATGGAGTCACCCTTCTTGGCTTTGAATTTTCACACACTCCTCCAAGCAGGAGTAGAATGACTGTACTGACAAAAGCTGAGCATTTCTGACTGGGAACTCTCTTGAGGCGTTTGCAGCTCTTGAGATCATGGCAGATGGACGGGGCAGGGCTTGGACTCATGCCTGGCCAATGCTTTGAGTGCTGAAGTGCTCTCTGAGGGCAGCCTAGATGACTCAGGAGCCTGTGTTTCTGCACAGCCAGCAGTGTGCCGTGGGTGACAGCCTTGATGCATGCAATCAGCCCACAGAAACCCGACAGCTCCGGGTCTAGTGATTGACACAGTTTTGTTTGTTATTTTTTTACTTTTCTTTTGGGGGCAGTCCATCCCATATCCCCCCCCCTTTTTTTTCTAAATTGTTTTCTCAGCTTGCTTGAGTCTCAAAGTCTGTCTCCGCTTGTCTTGAACCTCTGAAATAGCTCTGCAGTGAATGAACAGACACGAAGCAAGACTGGGCTGGACCCTGGGAGGATCTTGACTCCAGGAGGAGCAGCCTGGCTGTCTAACCTGTGATGCTGGGGGCTAAGGAGGTTCAACACCACTGCAGATGGCTGCCTGCAGCCTGGCACTAGGACTGTGTCTCCTGCTGCTTCTCCAGGATATCCACACAGCCCCGCAGGTAAGGCATAGTGGCACCAGGATTCTGCACCCCCTCAGGATGCAGGAGCCTGGAGAGGTCTGGGGTCACCATGGGCTGCAGGGATATCCTGCCCATAGGCTGAGTGCTGGGTAGTGGGCATCCACAGAAACAGACTTTGTGCAATGCAGGGCGATAAAGCTATAAAGCAAAGCTGTCAGGTGATAAGACCATAAAGTGAGCAACCAGGATGTTTTGTCTTCTCTGGGAACTTTGTAGGCGGGAGCAGGGGATATGAGCTATGATCTGCATCTTTTGGTGGCATTGCTAGTGTTACTGCACCTCCAGGCACATCACAGCTAGGGAATGAGGAAAGATTCTGTAGGGGTGGGGGACTGTTCTTGTTCGTTTGGGTGAGTGGCTTTTATTTTCACCTGGATGGCCAGGTGCTCTGTGAAAGGCACGTTCCTTGCAGAGCTGGGTTCAGAGGGCTTCTGCTCATGCTGCTGATGTGAGTCAGGGCTGGTAAAATGAAAGGTGTAAAGGAAAACAACAGTAGAATACCTTCCTTTTTACAACTGCACATCCCTCTGACACTGACTTCCTCATGAATGGGCTATTACTTCTTTCTCAAATTGACTTAAAATAGACACAGCCACTAGTTGCACTCAGCTGATGCTGTAAATGCAAGCTAGCTCCCCGCTGAGATCGTATCACCGTATCGTTTCCTTCCCCCCCGCCACCACGTACCCCCTCCTGCCTATTGGATCCTGTGACGATGAGCCCTCAGCTCCTGGCATAAATCCAGGTAATTTCCCTGGCTGACACTTATGCACACATTAAAATCCAAAAAGGTCAGTCGCAGAGGCTCTTTGCACAGATAAAGTAGGTGAGTGAGTGCACACCAGGTGGGACCATGGACTCGGCCGTTTTCCCTTGTAGTGGAAGTATGAGCATATATTAGCCCAAGGCACCTGTCTGTACATTGTAACTGAACAATATAGCACATTACTTGGGCTGTCAGGAGATCCTTTTCCAAGAAACTAACTCTAATCTAATCAGATCTCTGAAAATAACTAAGTCCTGCATCCTCTTCACAGACATTTGAAAAAGATCCTCCTGGCTCTTTTGGTAAGAGTAGGAGTTTGCCCTTGTGTGTTTAGTTGTAAATTCCCCTCCCACATTGCAAGTTTCCTCTACTTTGCCCTGGTTATCTGTCCTGCCACTGTCTCCTTCCTGAAAAATAGAAGGATCTGTGTTCTGTAAGATTGGAATCTCTTATTCTTACTCACCTGAAGAATACTTAGGAAGGCATTCAGACAAGCTTGTCCAGTCTGCTGAATGCGAACTGCTTTAGGAGAAAGGAATAGAATCATAGAATGGTTATCTTAAGATCATCTAGTTCCAATCCCCCTACCATGGGCAGGGACACCACACACTAAACCATGTCACCAAAGACCCCATCCAAACCAGCCTTGAACGCTGCCAGGGATGGAGAGTTCACAACTTGTTTGGGTAACCTGTTCCAGTGCCTCACCACACTCACCATAAAGAACTTCTTCCTTATATCTAACCTAAACTTCCCCTGTTTAAGTTTGAACCTTTTCCTATCACTACATTCCCTAATGAAGAGTCCCTCTTCAGCATCCTTGTAGGCTCCCTTCAGATACTGGAAGGCTGCTATGAAGCCTCCACTCAGCCTTCTCTTCTGCAGGCTGAACAGCCCCAACTGTCTTCATACAGCAATAGAAAAAAATATGGTATTTTTGTTATTTTGTATCACTTTTTGGTGTTATGTTCACAAAACGGAAGGGGCAGAGAGAAAACTTGGTTTTCTGGTACTCTCTGCCAACATTCAGACTCACTGCAAAATCACTAGTTGCCTGGAATAAATATGTAGATCTTGCTGGGATAAGCAACTGGCTTTTCACTGTCTTTCTGTACTGCCTCTGTCATGGCAACACTTGCTTTTACTGCTACTGAGGACAAGTGATAGTGTTTAATATGAGCAAGTCACAGTTTATTGATTGTATTTTAAATCATTTTCCACCTCACTTGAGCCCAAAGGTTGGGTTTGTTTTAGTATTCAGTTAACTTTCATTTGCTAATAATGTCTTTACCATCAAGCGGATGAAGCTTGACTACTTGCGTCTTAGGTTATCAGCTTCTTTTGTACTGTCAGAATTTGGATAGAAGCTTGAAAGGTAGTCAACTGTTTTGCTACAGTATTAGTCAGTTCTAGAATAGCCAATGCTGGTAGCAGGTTTTGGGTATTTTACCGTAATATTCTTTCTTCCTGGCTTACAGCTCATTTATAGCTAGCTGTTTTCTTACTCTGCCTCACCATCGTTTTTTTCTCTGGGAGCTCAAAAGACCACAAGTAAATGAGTCAAACCTTGTCCTGACTGAATTGCAGAGTAGCCTACTGAATTCAGCCCCATCTTTACAACTGCCTTTATTTAAACTGAAATAGCAAATGTGTAGATACAAGGAAAGTGAGAAGAGTTACAAAATCCTATTTTGCAAAACAAATTCTAAAAAGTGAGTCCTGCAAAACCCAATGCAAATCTGTTTGGTTTAGTTACTTGGGCCTTGAGCTGCAATGCTTTAAAAAAAGACAAAACATAGTTGGCCTGATAGGTCAGGAAAAGCACTAAGCCAAGGTCAGCCTATTACAGAGCAGTCCAAGCAGGATATGAATTGTGGCCTTTTCTTTCACAAGATGTATTCCAGATCCTGCTAAATCAAACCCCCTTATTTGAAGTGCATGCAGGAAAAAATTGGTGAAGTTCAGTCTCTGTCTCCCTCCAGTTGAACAGTTCACTGAATCCATTTAAGAACTTCTTGCATTAGAGCAAAATCAGATGCAAAAGACAAGTCTGATATAGATTCATGGCTTGCTCAAATTGGTTCAAAAACTGTGGACAGGTTGTCTTTGCAGTGCTGGGCTTCCTGCTACACTGGTAATCGTTTGCCACACCAGCTTACCATCTTGGTAGTTTAAATATTTATCTGTTCCTGTACAGCTGGCATAAAGCAGCATCAACTCTGCATTGTGTTCTCATGCCCAATCCAGATCAAATCAATTCTGATACAGAAGACAAATATAGAAATAACATCTATGAGGTTTCCCATTACGACTGTGCCTGTCAGCAGAGACCTGTCACACAAAGATGAGGCTCTGCTCCTGGCTACACAGTGCTACCAACTTTCTTGCACTGAATTTAGTGCAGGGTGAGTTGTTTCAGTGCAATAACCCCCCGAAAAAAAATTTCACACATTCAGAAAGCAGAGTTTTCAGTCAAATGAACTCCTAGAACTGAATCATCTCCTGGAAACACAATTGCTCTGTCTTAAGCAATAAAGGAGTTAGAGGGGAAGGAAAATGTGTGTACAGGTAAGAGAGGCAAAGTGGGATTGCACCCTTGCATGGCAAAGAGCCACAGGATTAGCACAGCTGTAACAGACACGTATTTCTACTTTGCTAATCCATTCTCAGTACAGACCCATCCATTCAGAGTTCCCTCAGAATTAGAGGGAAGGACAAAGACCTACTGTCCACCACTACTGGATTCCTCACACCACTCACCAATACTTCTGTGATCTTGAGTTTAAAATCTTTTTAATAATATGTATTAAAACCCAGAACTATCAGTACTAATGGACAATATGTCGTTCGGATAGAATGGGTATTTCTTCATTGAGAATGAATTATCTTCTGGAGAAGGGGACAGGGAAGCGTACAGTGTCTCCTTCTATTTACTTCAGGCAACACCAGGAAATGGTGCCTTAGAAAGTGAAATTGTGCTAGAATTCTAAATTTCCCTGGTAGAACCTAACTTCTGTTTCTGTGTGTCTTGAGATTCAGACAAAAATGGATAAGGAGGAGGGACAGTCAAAAGATGAAAGAGAAGATGACTTTGAACGTTAGTTAAACAGGATTTTGAGGTTAGTGCCTTTCATTCTGTTCCTTGCAGAGGTAAGGAGAGTTTGTTCTGTAAAGCTTATTGGAGATTTCCCTGATGAAGACAAGCTGTGTGATAGTTTTTGCTGAGTATGGATTATACCACACTCTTTAGTGTTTCCAGGAAGAAGAGGGAATGTAGTAAGTGGTACGGGGTAAAGATGATGGAGTGAATCTTCTCTCACTGGCTAACTCACAATTTCTGTAAGCCAGCAGAAATGGCCAACACAAAGTGGAGAATTTCTTAGCACTTTCTTTTTTCTGGGTGTCTACACACAGGCACCATGGAATCAAGAAGGTGAACCCCAACATTCACAGCTGCTGTTTTTTTGTAAGAAGGTGATAGTCTTGGGGTTTTGTAATGCGAGGCTGAAACCTTTTTTGCTTTATCCCTTCCTTTCATTTCAAGAGCTATTTATGAGCAACTAGGACCATCTAAGTCAAACCTTAACCTTCAGCTTCTGCCTAACAAAGTCTTAATCTAAATAGACTGGTTCTGCTCTAGAAAAATCAGTTTTATCAGTGATATTCACACAGTCCTGAGTCAAACTAATCATGGTTTGGTTTTTTGTTGTCTTTTTTTCTGTGATGGGGTTATATTTCCATTGTCATCCTTAAATGTATTAAAAATGGATTGTTTGATTCAAGCTCATACTAACCAATAGGTTAATGGCCCAAGGCAGAAGACTTTAACTATATTATAGTTAAAACCTCTGTGTCTCATTCAGTATTTTATAATACTTGTTATTTTCCAAGCACTCACAACCAGAAATATATTAGAAAGGCTGAGATTTTTGTTGGCAATGAGTGCAGTAAGAGCACATACGCTTGTCCTTCCTGCTGTGTTCTTCTTGAGACCTCATTTGATAAAGTACCACTTTTTACATTAAATTTCCCCTTTTCTCCTTGCTGCCTTTGTGATTCCCTCCCTTCTTTTAGGTGATGCTTGTTCTGATTAAGGCTTGACAAGGGGGACATGATCCTTAAAAGCTTCCACTGTTGGCTACCATCATCTCAGTCACAATACCCAAAACCCACTAAATAGCCAGCTCCCACGGTTGCAGCCATTGGCAACACAGCTCAAAACAGTGTCTCAGTGCTAGGGAGATCAGTGCTGCTACTGCCACCGTGGGAATTTTGCTCAGTATTTCCCTTCATTTGAACAGGATCATTCTGTGCTGTCACCAGATTCCTTTTGTAGTCACATAATTTTCCCTGCCTCTTTTGTTTATGAACACCATGGGATGTCCTCCTGAGCAAACTGCTCACCCACAGTGGAAAGATGTTTTTACGTTTCACTGGAAAAGCCGGAGAGAATGTACACTCTAAGTTCTGCTGTAAGAGACTGACCTATCCTGGTAGCAGTTGTCCTCCCCTTAGCAACTGAACTGCAAGTGTTGGCAGGATAAGTGTTTACAGCACCATAGGCAACAGTTTGGACGAGATTTGGTAAAACAAGCAAATCTGAAGTTGAGGACCCAGTGGGACTGGAGGGAAAGTGTGTTCTGTATGCCTTTATAGAGCCTATCTGGGTTCTGTGGTGCTACCACCACAACAAAACCTGTAGATTGACATTAGACCCCATTCAGAGCTGGGAATGGAACCACTAACCTTGAACATTAAGCTACAGGGACCTTTTTCTACCCTCAGCCTTGTGGTGGCCTCACTGTCATGTTGCTGTGGGTTTATAGAGTTGAGCCTGGAGGTCCAAACTCAGTACTGGACTAATCAGACTACAGGAGTTCACCCAACTCATTCTGATATTACCAGGTGAGGATTCGAGATCCAGATCATGTTCCAGCTGCAGTTTGTAGTAGCCTTACCACTACATAGGAATGAGAAATTGTTATTGAAAATAGACATGTCGGTTCAACAGCCCCAATTTCTGAGAAGTTATGTACATATGTTGCTTCCATAATTCTGTGGAAATCGAATGACTTTTTCTTTTTTCTTTTTTTTTTTTTTTTGGCCAAGCCACTGAAATATTTTTCACTTTTTAACCGTATTGGTTAATCAGCATTGAAATATTTTGTAACTCCAGAAATCAGTTGTCATTCTGTCCAGGAAGAGCAAGACAAATATGCATGAAATTTTTTGCAGTCCCTCCAAATTTGGATGGATTTGCTGGTTGATGTCTAGATTTCTGCTGTTAAAAAGGAGCAGTCAACAGCTGTGGAAGAAAAAAGGCTTGAAAATATGAAACCTAGAATTCCCTGTGTTTCTTGCTGAATTGTTTCCAGTGATCTCTTCCTGAGCTCATCAAAATGAAAGAGCAAGCAAGACAATATTTTACTGCAAACTTGCACCCTAGTTGTAGGTGAGATATCAGAGGTGGTATTTGACATGCGGGAAGAGTAGTTACAGGTGGTAAACTGAGATATCATAGAATCATCAAATAGTTTGGGTTGGAAGGGACCTTAAAGATCATCCACTTCCAATCCCAATCCTCATCTCCCCAGCCTGTCTTTCCTGAAGAGCCTGTATCCTTCCATTCACACGTTCAGTTGTTGAGTGGGTGAATTACCTAAGTTCAGCCCTTTTGCTACGCACTAATAGTGCACAATTTTGTTCCTTTTTCACTTCATGTCTTTGGCTGGTTATCTTTTGTTTTAGTTATTACCCTGATATTCATTACATATAGACAGAAAAATGAAAACTACATTATCCTTGTGTGGCTGACTTTCCTTCACCCTTTTCCTAAAAGTAACCTCATCAAATCTCTGCAGAAAATGAGCTGGCACCATCGTCTCATGGAAGACTTAAAACATTCTGAGACTGTGGCCTTTCACTTCTGCTGTTTCCTCGAGTCATATTCTTTGCCTTAAGGCACCAATTTGTTTCACTCCCCCAAAAACTCATGGAAGTTTCGGTGGGTTCCTAGTGCAAGATTTTTTATTCCAGATGCATAGAAACTTCAAATACAGTTCACAAAACGCCTTGCATAAGTTAAGCAGCAAAGCTTATACCATTTTTAGTGACACTGGCCTTCCATGCGTAAGCAAAGCTTCCCCAGTATTGCTTATATAGTTTGTACTGAGCTTTTAAGCCTGAAGTGCTAGAGGTGTCAGGGTTTGGTTTATACTCAGGGCCTTACCTTCAAGTGTGCTGTCTACGAAGAGCCAATCTTTCTGTTTAGTTTAAGAGCAGAACTTTGCATCATTGCATTGCTGTTGCAGGTCACATTAGGAATCCAACATCTTTATGATTTAGAGGGGGGGAAAATGACAAGAATAGGGAGATGGTGACTGATACTGAGCATGGATATGTACATTATTTGTAATTGTAAGGCTCTATAGGAAGTTTCATACTCATGAAACACCTCTACTGAACAGATGGCAGCTCTTAAAGACATCTTGCAGACACTATGCAAAGATATTATGTCTAATCCATAACACATTATGGATTAGAAGTGGTGGGGTCTTCAGAAAGTGGCTTCTCAGTCATAGGAATCTTGTCATGATTTGTTAAAATTACTTCTTTTTACAGCAGAGCACCTTGGGCTTGGCTCCGTAAACAGTAAAGGTGGCTACAAGCTTGTGCACTTGTGCTTGAATTGGATACTTGAAGGAAGCATTTGTTGTGAAACTGTGGATGTTATGTAGCTGGCTGTTGTATATGGCAGCCCTCTCGTGGAAAGGGGGAAAAAAAAAAAGGTTGAGTACTCTTTTGGATGTGTACTTTCATAATTTGTGTATTATATATGCACAGTTCATGCAGTAATTTTTCACAGCACTAGCATTAGGTCAAATTCATAATCAGAATCTGCATTGCTGTAACTAAGAGCAGAATCTAATCCTAAACTCTTGATTTCAGTGTTTCGACAAGGTTAACTTTTTAAAAAGCAGCCCTTCCCTCCTACTTTTTATGCTATTCTTTTAAACCCCAAAAGAGACAAATATAAGCTGTAACTTTATGTGCTGCATAAATCAGTCAAGAATGTTGTTCCTGCCCTGATTTAAAATTCTGCATCATTTGGAGCCAGTTGGTTGCCCAGGAGAACTAGGAAGAGAAGATCAGGGTTTTGTGGTGATTTCCCATAGCTCTTACAGAGAAGCTAATCCAGGGTGATTTAGCTACAGCCAGGATGCTGTTGATTCTTGAGTTTTCTTTATAAAACTATTCACTTTACTTCACATCACTTAATTCACTCCTGAATGACCCTTTGTCTAGTGACTGATTTCACTGTGTCATTTCCTGTTACTCAATTTAGTCTCAGAGGGGCTGGCTAACCAGGGTACTCCTCCACACAGATGCAAGGAGATTCCACTTCCTTTTCCTACAGACCAGGGCTTTCTCTTCAGAAAAGAAGAACACAGGGTGCACATTTGTAAACTTGAGCCAGGCGGAGCAAGCAAAGATCTGCTGTTTCCTCTATAGAGTAAGCTAATAAAAATGCTTTGCGGAGAGGCTCTGTGACCCAGTGGTTACCGCAGAAATGTCAGGCAGGATTTCTCAGTTCTATTGTAGAATCACAGTCTGGTTTGGGTTAGAAGGAACCTTAAAGCTCATCCAGTTCCAACCCCCTGCCACAGTGCTGGTCCCGATACAAAACTGGGGCTTGATAAAATTTAATGGGTTTTGTATGTTTCTGTTTCTTGTCCTTATGTTAATTTTGCCCTTGACTAACAGTTCCTAATTTCTGATGTAATCTGGGGCAAGTTAAATAACTTTAGTGTTTTATGGCCCTGTCATGAAAAGAAGTGTATTAAACAGGAGAACATGGCTGTGAAATCAGTGAGGTAGGTTCTGCACTGCATACAAAGGCAGCAGGAGACAGTAGGTATTATTTCAAAGGCCAATGGGAAATTCATCTACGGAAATCGAGACGTAGGTTTTTCTGAAATATTTAACTGCTTTACCAGTATCATGTGGGAAAATCTCTGGGGTATCTACTGGTTGAGTCTTTACAAAAAAATGACATTTACACCTTCTAGCAAATACTGAAAATTCAGATAATGTTTCTAGGGGATTATTAAGGGACACGCCAAATTAAAAAAAATCAGATTTTCTTATCAGTAAACTTGTAGCACTGTAATTTCCCAGAGCATGTAATGGCCCTGCCATAGGAAAATGAGGGTGCTGAGGAGCTGGCACAGGGTAACCAGCCCATCCCTGGCAGTGTTCAAGGCCAGGTTGGACACAGGGGCTTGGAGCAACCTGCTCTAGTGGAAGGTGTCCCTGCCCGGGGCAGGGGTTAGAGGTAGAGGAGCTTTAAGGTCCCTTCCTACACAAACCAGTCTGGGATTCTATGATTCCATGATTCCATGATTCCATTCCTATGTTTAAATGACTTTCAGACAAAAGAGTCTGCTGAGTGAAGCTGCATATTGAATTATTGTTAAATACACAGAATATTGCAATCTTTGCTTAAGCATATGGACAACAGTAATTTAGCTTCTTTCAGGATACTTGAACTTTCAGAAAGCTGTAGGCTTTTCTTTATTGCCTGCAAGTACTATAACTTGAGATGGATACTGGGATCTGCTCTACTAACAGAACTAATGGTTTTCTAATTGTGTCTTTTGTCTTCTTCAATTTGTAGATATCATTTACCCCACCTCATTCTTGTGATACACTTCAGAATTGGTTCTATGATGAAACTTCAAGAAGCTGCTGTTACCAGTGTCCCTCAGGTCAGTATGTTTATAATTCAGTCAAATTAATATGGAGCCTTTCTCAGAGAGATAGTAGGAACCATGTGTATCTGTAGAGTTACGTTTTGTCCTTGAAGATAAGTGCAATTCTATGAACCACTATCTAATGTGAATACAGACGTGAACTTGTTCTTCTCTGCCCTGCTCCTGTGCAGGCTGCAAAGCGCAAGCAAGATAATTTGCTAGAATTTTTTGTGGGTTTTATTCATTGACTTGACACTGAAGTAGCTAGAAGTAGGCAGGTCTAAGCGTTCATTTCAGCTTGCCTCAGTGTATGAAATAGCACAGTGAAAGAGGTTTCTGATCAGAGACCAAAAAAAAAAATACAGCATCAAGGTGTGGAAAATCTGTCATATCTTCATAGTCAAAAGAGTTGAGAAAGTGTCTCACATGAGAAAGGGAACAGCCCCTTGTGAGGGGACACAGTGAGCTTTGCCGGAAGCTGGTTGTGACTCAGAGAAGCACACAGTCAGAAGCAGGAAACACCTTGGTGAGACAAGAGTTCTGGAAATGTCTGAAACAACCCCTATGGGCCTAAAAACCCCCTCAGTGGGTGGGGCATTTCGAGGTACTTCACCATCATCAAGCTCTTCTTATAGAAATGTTTTTCTTTTTCTTTTTCTTTTTCTTTTTTCTGAGAGGAAAGTTTTCACATTCATTTGTGCACTAATGATAAAGAGGGCATTAGCTCTCAGTTGCGAGCATTTGCATGCAATTACATTGCGGGTCCCACTGGGACATCTTGTGCTGCTGGCCACACCACTAGATTGATTCAGAAGCTGTAAAAGGGATGGAGAAACTGGTGCTGTGAAAGAAGAAAAGGGGTAGGGATCTGTCTCTGAGCCACTCCCAAGAAAAGCTCTTTTCTCCTTCAAAACCATAGTTTGCACAAGCTCCCATAATGACAGATGTCATAGTGAGGCCTTGTGAAAAGCAGAGATCTGATTTATATCTGGCCGTAATAAGCCACCAGTCTCAAACACTTCACTCTGTTTATTCTTGCAACTCATTTTGTTGCCACATCCTCATGCCAGTCTTGGACATCTCTTCCCATCCTCCAAGGCCTCATTCACAACAGAAACTCATAAGAATCCTTTTTCATTCTAATCTTCTACTACTCCTTCAAGCAATAACCTGTTCATATCTGCTACTAACTTCAACTGCTCACTGCGAAGAAAAAGAAGCTTTTCTAAAACTCCATTTAATCAAAGTGGAGCATCTTGAGCTCTAGAGGCAGCCTGCCTTTACTTTCCTTGGTCTCCAAGCTCACAGATGTACAGCCTTCAGTCTGAGAATACTGGCCCACATGCAAGCTTCCCTCTGTTTCAAAGTTAATTTCAAGATAAACTTCAAACCAAACCTCAAAAGATCATTCTAATCAATTTCCACAGCTGCTACATCTCATGTACTTAATTCTGCAGGAAAAATGATACTTCATACCTGGAATACCAGAAGAATAGTTTCTTTCTGTCATTGCAGAACAAAGTATTTTGCTCCTGTCAAGGGGAGTAACAGACTTTCATGGGAAATAGTGGTATATGCTGGAACAGCTCATATTATGCAGAAGTTGGCATTGCACTTCTGTTTATGAATTTTCAACCTTTTTTGCTTGGTTGGGTTTTTTGATGTTTGTTTTTTTTTTTGGGGGGGGGGGTCGGGTTGTGGTTTTTTTTTGGTTTAGACTCTAAATCAGGTATCCAGCTCCATGAGATAGTGCTGCAGTCAACACTCAAGATAGTTTCCCACTCAGTTAACAGCAAATCCTCAGGAGTGAATGAATGCATGTCCTCATAAAAGAAAAACACTTCAAACACTTATTTTATCTACTTACTTTCAGGACATTTTTCTGTACAGGTGATTGCAGCTGGTGACTTTTATCTGGTTGTTGAGCTGTGAACACAGTCCATGGAGATCAGAACCAGGAGACACTGTTAGGCAAGCTTCAAAGCGACTGCACCTGGGGCACACATCCGCCAAGGGAGGGACCAATGTGTACAGGAAATCTCAAATAACTGAAGATAAAGCTTTTGGGACATTGGGGAAGGAAGGGGGAAATGACACACATGTGCAGGTACACGTGTGCAGCTTGAGTGCTGAGATTCAGCAATCAGCTGTCACCTTGAAAAGAACAGTCTCAGACAAGTAGTTTTGAGGAGGTGTGAGTGATGTGGTTCAGGCTTGTCTAGTGGTATTTAGTGGGCCAAATATAGCACAGCTGTTTTTACCTGCACTCTCACGTCATGCTTGCCAAAATGCATAGCACGTGAATTATTTCCCTGTTAGGTTCCCCCTCCCTGTGGTTAACTCTATAATTGGTTGATGCAGGCTGGATGCTGAAACTTGGGTTCATTTCTCTCCTGTTTCCCACCTCTGAAACATTCAACTCTTCCTATCTTTATGTTGGTACTTTAGCTTTTCCTTTTGCTTTGTAACTGCTGTTGTTTCTTACCATCTATTATTTCTACCTACTGGCAAGGCCACAGAGTCACAGCTTACCACTATGCCTTCTAATTTCTTTGGTACTATGGCCAGTGGTAGAATACCTCATCTGTTGCTTCAGGAGCTGAAACATTAGGAATGCTTCTGTCACACCCTTTTCCATACTCCTGCTGGTTATTGTACCTAGCTGGCCAGATGGATGCTTTTAAAAGCTGTTCATTAGAAAATTACTACCCAGTATAAGCACAGAGTCATAGAATAGCTTAAGTTTGGCAAAGACCTCCAGAGGTCATCTAATTCAGCCGGCAGCCCAACCTCCTGTGTGCTGCATGTACACAGAAGGTCTGGGAAGTCCTGGGCACTGCGCTTGCAGTGAGCAATGGACCCAGGGGAGTTGGATATGTTCAGCAGAGGTACACCAGCATCAGAAAGACATACATGTAATTTGATTTGTTTAAGGAAAACAATTGGAAAATTAAACCATCTCACAACTGTCAAGGCAACTGTAAAACTAGAAGGACTATTTAAAAAGCAACCTGCTGCAAACCTGCTAGGGGGATATAGGGCACGGCTCAGGGAGCACCATCTTGTAATTTTCCATTCTGAACATGAGAGGTGGGGTTATCCCTCTTTGAATCCACATGCATCTAGGTGATTCTGGAAACTTTTGAAGGGTAGGTGATGCTTTAGATAGCAAAATACCAGGACTGGGTTGCTCTAGTCAAGAGGAAAATATGGAAAACAACTGCTTGTGAACTTAGTCATGGCAGGTCAATATTGCCCTCACCACAGCTTTGCCATGTGCCCATCCTGCAGCAATCCACACTGAGTGTGACAACACTATGCACAGTGTTGCTGTAACAGGACAGCTGTGATCCCTTCACACTTGAATGGGAAAGGCAAAACCCTGCTAGAGAAACCAAATGACACGTACAAAGAGAAGACTGGTAGTGTGTCTGACAGGTGAATGAGTACACAGGAACACTGCAGGATGGTTGTCTCCTGGTATTCTGAACTAGTATCCTGTATATTTTGATGTTATTTTCTTTCTCCAGGCTATGTTAAGAAGAAAGCATGTCCTAGGGACCCAGGTGAAGACTGCATAAGGTGTGGACCTGAACAATATGTGAATGAAGCATTCCAAAAGCCAAGATGTGATGCTTGTGTATCATGCACAAAAGGTTTGCTTTCCCTCACACATACCTCACAGTTATATTTTATATATGTTTTTTATTTACACTTTATTTATATTTTATTCATTCAGAATTTCCAGCAGCAAAATTATCCATCTGTGGTTACTGGTCTTAGACAGCAGAATGCTACCTGGCACATAATCAGGGTTGCTTCCTGTGTGGCCTGGGTTTACCTAAAAATTCTCTCATCCAGTGCTATCCAAGCCTGATTTCTGCTTTCTGTCTTATATTACAAGCCATTATCTACAGACTTTTCCAATTCATGACTTGTCATTGTGAAGAGTGCCAGCAGCCTGTTCTGACTCCTGAGCCTTTGAACTGATGTTGCTCAGCTTTGGCCCCTGCTTTGCGTTTTCCTTGCAGGGTGATCCTTTGTTACCACATCTGGTTCTTCCCCACAGAGTCTGACCTTGTGGAGAAGGAGCCCTGCTCCTTCAATTCTAGCCGTGTATGTGAGTGCCGACCAGGCCTGTTCTGCCAGACCCCTGTTCTGAACACCTGCATACGATGCCAGCAGCACACTGTCTGCAAGCCTGGTTTTGGAGTCAAAGTCAGAGGTAGGAATTCCTGTGGTCCAGCTTACCTTTCCTGAGCTTGGCCATAGGCCTGGACTTGATGCATTTCGGTTGGTCAGTCCTCAGTCATGACTTTTATTCAGGCACCTCAACAAATGATGTTACTTGTGAAGAGTGCCCTTCTGGGACCTTCTCTGATCAAAATTCCAGCACTGACATCTGCAAGCCCCACACTGAGTAAGTCCATAGATCTTTAACATGACTAAGTTAGTTCAAAAAGGACAAAAAGGGACACTCACTGCTTCTGCTGCCAAGTAGACCAATTTATCTTAGAGGCAATGGGATAACCTTGGGCCTATGTGCAGCGCTTAGAGGGCCTCTTTATATCTGTCCACATGTTTGTCACATGGAAGATACACTTACATTGTACCATGGCAGTTTCCTCTAGTGCTGATACACTGTTCTCTTTCGTTCCCTAGCTGTGCCAAATTAAACAAAGTCGTGTTAAGCAAAGGAAATGCAACACATGACCAGGTTTGCCTGGACCAGTTGCCCACCTACCTTATCCCAAACACTTTGTCCATGAGGTTCAACAATGAAACAAGTAACTCTGACCTAAGGAGGTTTGAAGAGAACCTAGTGACCATTACTGGTATCCTTGTAAGTGCCACAATGACTGAAAACCCCAGTACAACTGCTGAGGAGAAAGCTTGGGCTGGCACCTTTCCCACCTCAGTCAAGGGGGAGACAACAATGGAAGGTAACAAACATAAAGCATTCACTCTGTCCAGCATGTTTTATTTGGATATATCTTTGGTAAAGGCAATTTTTATGTGGGAGCTTCCTGCAAATCCCCCTCAACTTGTGAAATTATGTCCATGGGTCTACGTCCAAACACAGATCTACTAGTAATTCCCACTCTGCCTTTTCTTAGCCTTTCCTGTACGTCCTTTCCCTTTCTGTGCTACAGGTCTAGTTCTCTGGGGAGTGGTTCTCTCTGTGATTGTGCTACTTGTGGGCATGCTGTCATTTTGGAAATTGAAAGTTTGCAAGAAGCAGATCTTCATCCTCAAAGGAAAGCGTGAGTTTTTAAAGCTGTTTCCTGTTTGATCTTCAAGTATGTGCCAACTGGGAACTCAAATATCCTAAATGTTGGGTAAGGGAATGTTCACTACAGCCTGGTGAAGGTGCGCCAGATAAGGTTTCTAGACAAACTGTTGATGCAGAATGTTGGAGAACGTGAGAGAAAGATGGAAGCAGCTGTGAATTTATGAAGGAAGATACTACAAGCCAGGTGGGGAAAGGGTAACCAATGGTTTCTTCTCCCAGCACAGACTCTAATATTAAATGATACCTGAAGTGTTTTGTGAGTATTTGTTGGTTCCGGGGATGAGGTTGACCTTTGGGCATGAGAGGAAGAGTGATTTTTACTGGTACGGATTTCCTGTAGCTTTGCCTAAAGTTACACGTGGGGTGTGCTTGCAGAAAACCATTCCCTCTTTTATAGAGAGGAGGATGTGCATATTGTAGGTTGGTTGTAGACCTGTGGGTGTGGTAAAGCTGTTAGAGCCTGTACAGTCCATGATGACTTTTACTAATGAATGGTTTCTTTTGACCAGCACATCTGCATTCCATCCATTCACGCAAATGCAGGCTCAAATCTCAAGGTGACTCATGGACCAGGAATTGTAATCCTTATGTCTAAAGCATAAGTGGATAGTTTTAATATGGAACTTTATTTTATGGGGTTTTTTTATTTAACACGTGGAACTTTTTAATGTCACGTGTATGTCTCTGCTGACATGCAAAAGGCCGGTCCAGCTGTGTGTCCAGCGCAGGCAGGTGATGCTCTGACAAGTCAGTAGGTGGCACTTTTTTCCCAGTGAACGGTTGGGCCATGTGTCAGTGCGAGGGAAGCTTTCCTGGGAAAACGCCCCATTCATGTCTGGGCACTCAAATGTGCTCCAAAAAGAGTGGGTGTTGGCCATAGCAACCTCTACAGCTCCTCTGTAGCGTACACATTTTGCCCAATTAACGAATTCCTATCTCAGAATTTCCATTTCCACTGACTGATCCATTCTCTTCTGTTGTGGTAGATTCTCCTAATTACCATACAGTAGAGCTTTATACAGGAATAAAATTTAAAACCTCCTGTGTGCAGCTTAGTTTTCTCAAAATGGAATTTTTGCATTTTCACTTTCTTTACATAATAGAAACTGTTGCTGCGCAGCATTATAGATATCTTGAAAATAAAGGTGGCTGCATGTCAGGGCAAAATTAGATAATAAGCCTGAGCCCACCTAGTTGCATGGTGCTACAGAAGGATGCTGCACACTTCTTTCTTCTCACTTCTTTCCCCAGTGCTACCTTCCTCAGTCCTTGCATAAAATCCCATCAATCCCTTAATCCTTAACATTCACCTTGACCACATGATGAACTGATCTAACTTGTTCATCCAGTAAAAGTTAACTTTTTTTTACTTAAAAAAAAAAAAAAAAAAGCAAGCCTGTCTTCTGCTTATCTAGAAAGTTTAATCAGTTCATCATTTCATTAGATGAATACCAGTTGTGGTGTGGGGAGAATGATAGGGATGGCCACAGAGGGTTTTGGGGAGAGCAGGACCTCAGAGTCTTGGCAGCAATATGTGGCTGGTTTTCCTCACCAGTGTCATGTAAGTGTGCCCTGAGTGGTAATGAGAGCCTAATGCAGGTGGGTGGGGCAGCAGAGTGGTTTAGGACATGGCTGGGTGACCTTTCAGAGCAAGTATTCACATTCTTGTGACTGCTGTGAATTTTCTCCTCATAATTTTTCCTCTTTCCATTGCAGGTCATGATCTAATGAACAAATGTACAGTAAGTGGTAACAATATTCCAAACCAGATCCCTTTCCATTCCAATGTAAATAATGATATTTTTAAATGTGCAGTTAAAAAGTGATGGCCTTTTTGTCTGGACTATCCTCAACAATGCATGATCCTCTAGGCACAGCAATGAGATGTGCTAGGGCTTGCTATTTTCATGTCTTGGTCTATGTTTAATGTGGTGTTAAATAATGTGATGCCTCCAGTCTTGCTTGTGAGGGAACTATTTGGTTTGGTCTTACACCATCCATGTTGCATTCTATGGGGCAAATCCAAAATCATAGGATGAACATGCCTTTTCTACCTCTTGGGAGAACTTTGTCTGTCAGGCCCATTTTATCTTACTCCAGTCATACAAGTGGGACTTCATCACCTTCCCTCTTTGTAGGATTTGGCATGACTGTAATGAGGGCACACAGAGGGTATTGTTTGTCTGGAAGACTTTCCATCAGGACCAGCTTCTGGCTTAACAGTATGGTTTGCAGATGAACAAGACAAACCTCAGTCAATATGGTAACAACAGAAAGCAGTTCCCCAGCTGCTGAAATCATCACAGCTCTGTTTGATTCCTCCACTTTCAGTGAAATTACAGCAACTTTTGTCCTCTGAGTCTTCTCAGTTTTTAGGCTTGTTGTCTCTGAATGTCCATATCTGCTAAAACACTTCTCAGACTGTTCCTTTTTTTGTTTTTATATAGGTTTGCTTTTAAAAGTTGTGCATTTGCACACATAAACCCCACTACTTATTCTAATATGATCTGCAATCAGGTATCATAATTTCACTGTGTCATTGCTAATTCCTGAATTGTGGGGAGCTTCCACTCTTGCTTTCATAGTGAGTCAGACATGAGCAAGAGTTTTAAATTGCACATTTAAAAATCTTCCTTGTGGAAACAGAAACAGAGCTAGGAACTACCAGAAATTTGTGATGCAGGACCTTCAGCCTCTCTCAGATTCTGGCTCCTCTTTTAAAGGACTATTTGTAGGTAATTCTTCACCTAATAGCTAGTCTGAGTTTGTTTCTCCCACCTGAGGTCCTGTTAAGGCAATTCCATTTTGAAGTTCAACCAGTTCAACCTCTGGCTTGTTTTGTTCTCCCGCAGGAGTGTGGTAGATCTTTGCAAAATTTAAGAGGAAGTTACATATTTTCATATATATTCCATATATTCCCAGTTTTGACTGTTAGACTCTATCACCATATGACTACACATCTGTACAGGTTTGTCCTCTGATGCTTATCTCACAACTAAATCAAAAATCCCTTAAAATTCTTACCTCCAGCATCTAACATACTGACGTTACACTCTTTGCTGAAAAGTGCTGCTGAGCTTCAGCCCCCTAGAATGAAGCTGCTACTAGATCACAGGATAGCAGACCGCAGCAGAGCATACAGTGGAAGACTTGTGGCAAGAAGTCAAAGTAGCAAATAGGTGGATTTATAAAGGTTTATGGGCACCTAAATTGCAGACAAGGTAGTGGAATTTACAGGAAACCGGATTTCAGTGGAAGTGAGGTACATTCTTGCAAATGTCATCAATTTAGTTTAGAAACACTATTTTTAAATATGGCCTTAAATGATGCAGAAACAAGTTCCTAAATCAATTTTTACTCCTTGTGACAGTGGTGCTACGAAGTACATCAGGTTATTCTGACTCCCGCAGAAGGGTTCTGTAGACCTACTGCAATCTTCCCAGTGTTGTTTTTACACTCACCTCACTTCTACTCTTTTATGTCAGCAGATCATACTGGCTACTGACAGTGGTCCAGAAGAGAAGGAATTAATTGACAGAACTCTCCCTTTGGAAACCAACAATAACTTGGTCTCCAGGACAGAAAATGCACATAGTCCTCCTCTGAGTCTGACTGATGTGACACTGAGCAATGGAAATGCCCCAGATTGCCCCATTGATTCTCGAGTGAGAGACCACACGAATAATCGAATTGGTGAGTTTTGCTTTTATTTTTTTCCTCTTGCCTTTTCAATTTTTCAACCATGGGCACATCATGTCATTCTGAGATTATTAGTAAACTGCAAAGTCTTCCAATCTTCTAACAAAGATTGGGGCTGAATCTCCAGAACCTTTGACACACAAATTCTGGTACATCTATGCATTTTGAATATTCTTTTATTTTCACATTTTTACTGTGCCTTAGTCACTTATGAATCCACCAGAAAAATGCTCTTCTTCCTCTTTTTCATTCCAGAAGATGTAAATTTGCAGAAGAAATTTGAAATCTGAAATATGTCAGCTGGAAAATCATGCTGTAACACTTAGTGAGAGTTGTACTTCACATGTCTCAAGATACCATATTCTTCTCTTGATTTCACAGTAACAGCTTGAGATGTGTCTCACATATGTTCCTGTAAAGTCTTTGACCATGGCACAGGGTAGTAGATAAAGTCAGGCAAGGAGGCTTAGTCACCTAAGCTTAGTCACCTAAGACACAGTGTACATGAGACATTCTGGCAATGTTTCCAAAGCCAATTTTGAGGTTCTTTAAAGGGTTTTTTTTATATTGCTAGAGCTGACTTTTCCTTACTAAATGCCCTGATTTTTCTGACAGTGGTCAACTTGGGATGAATGTGATGATTTGACTTACTATACCCAGAAATATTCAAGCAGTTGTGAACAATAACCACAGCATCTGATCTGCAGCATCCTTCTGAGTAAAATGTAGTGGTCCAAGCCACAGCAAAGGCCTTATTTACCTTTTGTAAAGGGTCAACAAGTTGGACACAAGTTTCAAGTCTATCCCAGAAAATTTTGTAGTTGATTCTCCACTGGAAAGAAACTAATTTCTTTGCTGGTCCCGAGACCCCCAATAATTACCCAGAATTTCTGCACAGCCCTGATCCTCGCCCAAGAGCTGCTTTTTAATGCAGGTGTTGTTGCTTCTCAAAACAGCAGGAGCATAAATCTTGGATTGTCTGTATTTATCTTCCCCAGATCCCAATGAATTGCTTCTCTCATGAATATCCTACTGCCTTTTCTAATCTGTTTTTCTCCTGCAGCTCTTGCTATAGCACAGTGGCTTCATCACATAGGAGCTAGGTCTGCTGGATCTAAAATGCCCAGAGTCCCATTGCCGATGCTCCAAAACCAGACACTGTAGTATAAAATGTTCAGGCCTTCCTTTATCACTTACTATGTTTAGTGCTTCGATTTCAAACTTAAAAGCACCTTATAAATTAACAACAAAGTAGAAAACTTACAATGTGCAAAACCCAAAAGTTTTAGTGGGTTAGTGAATTCTGTGTTTTCACAGTGATGGGCTTGATCTGCAGGCTTCTGATTAAAAAAAGAATGGGGGGGGAAAAGAAAAACTGAGAACCAAATATAAGATTGCATGAAACGGAACCATCTCTAGGGTCAGCAGTGATTGGTAACTACTTTTTTCCTTCCTCAGAAAAAATATACATCATGAAGGCTGACACTGTTATTGTGGGGTCCATTTCAGAAGTGCCTAGTGGCAAGAACTGTACTGCTAGAGAATGTGAAAGTAATGTTGATGCTGAGGAAAACACGGAAGAGGAACTAGCAATGCACTATCCAGAGCAGGAAACGGAGTCTTTTCCATGGAATGATGTAATGGTTCCTGTGGAAGAGGAGGGAAAGGAATTTCATCACCCCACCACTGCCACTGAAAAGTGATAACCCACTGAGAAGATATGTGAAGTTACAGAATCATCCAGTGTGACACTAAGCCTGAATCTAGAAGGGAGGTAAACACAGAGTGCCTTAGGGTATCTGAAAACCCATATAACACACTGCAATACATTCAAATGAGGAATGCTAGAACCTACTTCATCAGACAAATGAAAGGATCACCCAAGCTGTTGGTCTTCATAGCTGACATCAAGTATTTCTCTTCCCCTCTCTCCCAGTATCACGCTGGAAACAAATACGGATCAAAGCTACAAAATTCAGAAGACATCTGGATGCCAACTCAAGTTTCACAGCTTGATTTCTCTGCATCAAGGAATTAATTGAAATCTATATCTGATTACTTCTATTAGCTATGGAAATTCTAGCCAGAATTCTGAGTTGATGTGTTTCATATGTTGTTTCTATTCCAGTATGACCAGTACTTTCAATTTTGGCCTAAATTTTGCAACATCTGGTATTTTTCTTAAGGTCTCAACTCTTCACTGAAAGTAATGACAGTTTCAGTTTTCCCTAACACAAACAGAACTCTTATATTTTTGGACCTCGTGTTTCTAGGATCAAAAGATGCCACACAGGCCTAGGAAACAGATGGCAAACAAAACTTGAGGCCACTCTTTCTAGGTTTTGGGTTCTGATTCATGTCTTTTGACTACTTCAGATCATCAGGAAGTGTTCAAAATGGCCTCTTCTGATGGAAGCCAAACTGGCTGAACATTTGGATTTTGGATGAACTGTGGGTTTAGCCCAGTGTGGAGGCTATAAAAAGGGAAATGAAGAAAATAAACTATTTTTCTATGAAAAGGAAGGCCTGAAAAACAGGCACAGCAGTAATTTCCTGTAACATTGTTAATATCTCTTGTTTTAGAATTGCTCATTAATCATCAGGGTGACACTGATTGGCATATCTAATGTTTAAATTTTTTAAAGATAATTTTAGATCTGTTTTGTGGTCAACTGGCTTGTGTTACGCTATTTCTCAGTCTTTCACACTGGTAACTGTAAATGTAACAGTGTCGACTGTATTTTTGCACAGGAGAATGGAAAATGAACAAGATGACAGAATGTGCCTTAATAGTCAAAAAAAAAGAACTACAAAAGTTTGCTTTGTAGTTTCACCCCGGCCAGAGTACTGTGGTAACAGCTGTGCAACTGCACATCTTGTGTCTTAGAACACACAAAAGGAACCTTAAGAGCATAAAAACCACCCTCTTGGGGCAGACTGGTAGTAGGAGCCAAGCGTTTTATCCCTGACAGTCATGGTAAGAGATGTTATTCAGGAAGAGTACATAAGCCTGGTTAATATCTGCTGTTCATATTCCTGAGTTCCACAGCATCAGCTGTAATTGGATTAAGGATGTTGAAAAGTTTATCCCAGCCTTTAGTGATCATTCATACTGCCATTAATTTTTCTTATCTCTTTTGAATTCCCTGGTACAATCTGCCTCCATAAGCAACAGACTACAGACTACTTCTTTACCAGGCACTGCATAAAGAAGTACTTTTACCACTTTTAAACCGGTGACTTGCTTAGTTCAGTGAGTGCCTCTAGTTTTTGTATTGCAGAATTTTGTGCAATACTTAGTTGCTTTTATAAATCTTGATTGTATCCTCCTCAGCCTCCAAGCTGAGTTCCCACATTTTTATATTTCTCATATAAGTTGGATGTTCCACTGCCTTGGTCATTTTAGTTGACCTCTTCCACATCTTCCCTCATGTCACTACACTCTTCTGGACACATGGAGGCCAGAACCATGCACTGTACTGAAGAGGAGTAGGCCAAGGTTTTATATAGTGCCAAACTGTTCTGATAGCGGTGCCTCTCTGGATGAAGCCCACTATTTTGTTTGCCTTTTCTTTTGGCTACCCCTGCACACTAAGCAGATGACCTCAGAGAACTGTCAAGCATGACTAAAGGATGGCTCCTCTAAGTGGTAGCTGCTAGACATGAACGCACCACGTATGCCTCGGTTAGATGACTTTTGCCCTGTGTTGATCTATGTAGAAGCTGATTTGCCACCTTTTTATGAGCTCTTTCTGTCTTCATTTCCCTTGTCATGTAACCCTCTGGACAAGTTTAGTATTGCCTTCTCTGTGCAGGTGCTTTTTCCTCCAGATCATTGATGAAGATATTGAATAGAACTGGCCCCACCAATCCCCCCTGCAAACTGTTTTCTACCCTGAAAAATGAACATTATGTGGTGCTCTTTTGTTCCTACCTTTTCAACAGCCATAACTTCTGTATCCTGTTACCTTCTAGTAAATCCACAAACGGACCTTTCCTCCAATCCTGTGATAGCTTTGGTTTTCCATAACTTTAGGTGTGGAACCTCATCAAAGGCTTTTTGAAAACACATGTAGTAGGTCCACTGGATCTTGCGTACTCAGTAAGCCTCACACTGTAAGGCAAGGTATGTTGTTAAGATTTTGTGACTGAAGAAGTAAATCCAGAGAAATTCCTACTTTTCTGAAACCACAGCCCCAGAGATGTGGTGGGAGAATCTCAGCATCCTGGGACCTAGCCACTGACTTCCATCAGCAGTTAATCTACCTGTAGTACATTAGAACATGGTGTAATTTCAAGTGTTGCTAATTCCAGTCTTTACTTCTTGAATTCTGCAAGTCTGGAACATAAAATAATTTCTAAAACTAACTATTGCCACTGTATATTTTAGTTGGTGTCCCAAGTCTTGTGCAAGAGACAATAACTGAATCCTTTCTGTGTACTTCTGTGTTTGTACCTGCTTGGTTTCATTCAGAAGATAAGTTGCTCCTAATGCTCATTGAAATGTCTTTTGGCTATCAGTACTGCCATGTCAGTGGCAGTTACATGGGGTGAAGAAAGAAATAGAATTCACATTTTTTGGTTTAAGTGCTTGTTGTGCAACAGAAGGCCAAGTCACCGAGTTGTGTCATAAAACAGCAATGCAAGGAAGAAGAAAGAACTGTGTGGGACAAATACCGGACCTCTTCCCTCACTTCCAGTCAGGGTTGTTCACTGTTTTCCAGTCATACACTTTATTCCAGAAAAACACAGGCACTTCTATTTCATTTCAGACAACACCAATTTGTGTATTCACAAACTGTAAATGACCCTGTTCACCTGGCCATGGTGGTTAAGAGGGTGTTCTGTAGTGACAACTGCTGGACCAGGCTGCCCAGAGAAGCTGTGGCTGCCCCATCCCTGGCAGTGTTCAAGGCCAGGTTGGACACAGGGGCTTGGAGCAACCTGCTCTAGTGGAAGGTGTCCCTCCAGTTGGAACTGGATGAGCTTTAAGGTCCCAAACCAACATATGATCTGAGAGTTTAGCTCTGTATATAAAGAAATCTTTTTTACTGGAACAGCTTTCAAGGTGAATCATATGCATTGCAACCTGCTAGATGTATTATAGCTGGCTGGGTTAGTAATGCTGGTAATGTGTGAATTAAAAATTAGGTGGATTTTAAGCCATAGCCATACTTTTCTTGTCTGACATGTAAATGTTTTGATGTTGCCATTTCCAGTAAATATATTAGTTGCAGAAAAAACACTTGTTCTGCAAGAGAGCCATTGAGGCTATTAGTCAACTGCAGCGCTTCTCAAGAGCAGAGCAGAGCAGGGCTGAATTGACACTGAAGGCTCTGCACCACCCCTGCAGCAGGCATGAGGGGACGTACTGTGGCGGGTACGAACGCTGGGACACTGCCAACGGGTGAGTTCGGATTTGGGGGCTAATGGAGCATCCCCGCGGCTGAAGAGACCCTTCACACGGGTGGGAGTCTCTGGGCAGATACCTGGAGTCCTTTTCTGCCCGGCCAGCTCCCAGCTCCCATCCGTAACCCGCGTA